GGAAAACGTCACCGAGTACCGGAACAAACTTGTGTCTGAAGTCGAGTCTTTGCTGGACAAAGTCTCGGATTGGGGGCGACTAAATCTAGTCCAGTTTAATCCTCAGAAGACACAAGTTTGGGTGTTTACCGCTAAAAAGAACCCCTTTGTCGTATCTCCTCAGTTTCAAGGTACTCCCCTTGTTGCCTCAGCCAGTATCGGAATCCTTGGCGTCGACATATCGAGTAGCGTGCAGTTTCGTGGTCACTTGGAAGAGAAGGCCAAATTGGCCTCTAAAAAGCTTGGCGTGCTCAGCAGAGCGGGACAGTATTTCATGCCGGCTCAACGCCTGCAACTTTACAAGGCGCAGGTTCGGCCTCACATGGAATACTGTTCCCATCTCTGGGCTGGGGCTCCCCAGTGCCAGCTTCTTCCACTTGACCGCATCCAGCGCAGAGCGGCTCGAATCGTCGACGACCGAGTCCTTTCCGATCGGCTCGACTCATTGGCACTGCGAAGAGATGTTGCATCTCTTAGCATTTTCTTTCGCATTTACCATGGGGAGTGCTCTGAGGAATTGTTCGGATTAATCCCAGCCGCCAAATTTCACGAACGCACATCGCGGCAGAACTCCCGATACCATCCACACCATCTGGATGATTGGCGGTCCACCACTGTGCGATTTAGAAGATGTTTTCTTCCTCGCACAACTTCCTTGTGGAATTGTTTACCACCAGCGATTTTTCCGGACCGATACGACTTAGGGACCTTCAAGAAAAGAGCCTACTCCTTTTTAAAAGGCCGGCAACGCATCTGCAATTCTCCTGGTGTTGCGGTTGTTCATGGGCGGCGGTAGTCACTTACCATCAGGTGAGCCGCATGCTCGTTTGCCCCCTCTCCTATAAAAAAAAAAAAAAAAAAAAAAAACCAGCCATACGGTCAGTCAATGTTGTTTTTATATCATTAGCCATCATTTCTATACGTCGAATTACAGTTCGTCTTGACAAACTAATTTTTTCAAATTCGTTTTTCTTTTCAGGACACAAAATACCGCAAACTTCTAACATACACTACTTGATAAATTCTCCTTCGGCAAATGGTTTTAATGCTTTTGCCAATTTTGAGCTAAGTATAAAACTAGCTTTCACAACATTATCAAGTTGTGTTCTTTGTTTATGAAACCTTTGTTGCTGTTTTTCCAAATTTGCGGTAAGCTTCTGGATTTTTTCTGTTCTTAATTGTCCTGTCAGTGAGTGTAGCGTAGCATGCTTAGTTGAGTAATACCTCTTTATATTGAATTCTTTCATTACTGAAATGAATTCATTACACAGCAAACAAATAGGCTTACCATTGTGCTAGATAAAAAAGAATTCTTCAGTTCATTTTACTTGAAACTGGCGACCCTTTGTTAGATACAAAGGGTCGCCAGTTTTCGTTTCTTTCCACCAGACATCATTTTTGTTTACTTTTCGTTCAATAAACTTAATAACAAACTATAGTTAGAAACCACTCAAGATCCACACAAAGTCACAAAGCAAGTTGACGGCTCGATCAGTTCGCTAGGCTAGAATAATTGAGAAGAAATAAATATTTTGATGTGTCGCTCGGGAGGCGGCAAACCTCAAAAAATTTGATCGAGCAAGCCGAGTGCCGGCGATTATCAAAGTGTAAGGCGGCAAACATCAACGGATTTGATGTTTGCCGCCTCACTGTCACTCCCGTGAGTATAAGTACCTAATGTTATATTTTTTAATTGGGTTTTTTCAAAATGTCTCGCGGGCCGGATCATATCTTACAGCGGGCCGGATCCGGCCCGCGGGCTGGTTGTTGCCCATATATGTTTTAGAGGATGCTTGCAGCTGCAAAGGCAAACTAATAAGAATAGATAACTGATATTATAACGCCAGTGTTGAAGCAAGAGCTTGTGCAAATTTTAGTCCGTTGTTACACCCCGATGACAAGCAATTTAAGGATAGATATCGCCTTTTCGAAGAAAGTATTCGTTTTTGCGAAAATAGCGTTTGATAAATCCAAGTTCCTACCATCACTATTCAATAATTAAGTCAACTCCTCTCAATTCTTCATACAGGCCATCCTATCGCTTGCATTAGAGGATCCTTTGCTGAGGGCTTCATGCCGAAAATCTAATAAATTCTAGTCTCTGAAACCTCATAAGTTCAACATAAGTTCAAAACACACGGATCATAAGTTCACTTAACACTAAGTCACTAAATTCCATTTAAGCACTGCTCCATAAAAGTCACCATAAAATCATATTAGAACGAAAACATCTTCGTGTTTTTTGTTTTCAATTTAATACTTTCAATAATTACAATTAAATGGCTAATTCACAATCTCATAATACTAACACAAACTGTCGAAACCTTGATCAAATTACGAAACATAAACAGATAGGTAATAAAAAATCGCTATAATAACCACAACTTTGATAGACAGATGCTAATATTAAGACTACTAAATAAAAATGTCGTTCTCAATTTGGTAAGTTTATTTTACGATGGGAATGCGCTGCCAACGTAAGAGAATGAACGAACGCCATTCACAGTAAGCAAACGCGGATCGAAGGATTAGCTTCTATTGTAACTCACATTCGCTTGTTTTCGCTTATCGATACCTATGCCGTTAACTCGGTTAACGCAATGGTGAAGTCATTCGAATGATTTTGTGAAACTTGCACTAGGCACACAGATACTCCAATTTTATTTATTTGTATAGATGTATAGATTAGTACACTTCTTTGTCACTTATGTTAATTATTTCGTTTCAAATACATCAATATTCGCCGAAAATAGCGAGAAGAATAATGAAATTTGAGTGAGCTGTACACGTTAACATTATGAGAAGTATCGTTGATAAGCAGAATATGAGCACCTTTTTTTTTTTAAAAAAACAGTCGTGCCAACAGATGTTTCGGGATGTTTCTTTAAAAATTTGGAAGGCTTCACGAATGCTCATAATCATCATTCTCTTCTGGATTCGTGAATTCATTTGCACATTGGACATGATTGATTTCACATCTTTCATCCCAGACATTTGTCTATCAATATTGTTGCGCGCCACCATTAATGTCTGGTACATGGCGATACTAGTTACCACTAGCGGCTTCTAGTATCGAGTAGCATAACTAGAAGAGTCAAGATCCTTCTAAAAATTTCCATGGAAGAACTTTCTAAAACTATCGACACCTAGTCAATCGGGACCGGTATGTACTCGAACATTCTAGATGTTTCTACTCTAGAAGATTCTGGAACTATCTAAGGCCCTATATAAGGCCGGTATAGACCGCGACCGGGATCAGTGTTGAGTTGACAATACAAGCGAATGGTTCAAAGCGATACAACTGCGAAGTAAAGTGATCAGTAGTACAATTGTGTTATGTTATTATTGTGGTTTTGAGTTGTAATTAGTGTTCTGTAATTAAAGTTTCCATTTTGGTAATTCACTCGGCAGTTGGCAGTTTTTAATTGTCTCGAACTCCAAGCTCGTAACAATATCATCCCTAGTATAGAAATAACTAATCTGTTCGTTTACTTCATCCGTCAGTTTTCAAGGCACTGCTTTAGGGGAATCATTTATGTTAGATGCAGCAACTTGGAATTCTGTAGCAATTTTTTTAGAACTTCAAATGCTTTAGTGGAACTAGCTGGTAGATTAGGTTTCACTTTTGCCACAGCCTTTCCCAGTGTAAGAAGGCTGTGTGTTATTTGTTCTTTTCTACGACGCTTTACAGTTGCTTGCATTATTTCTTTATATTTGATTCTAGCCAGTATTTTCAAATCTTCATCTCCCTCCATTTTCTTTTCATTACTTCTCTTCGTTTTAAAACGAACCATTTCTCGATAGAAATGGTCTGCAAAAAGTACAAGGTTTTCTTTTAACATTCGCCAATATTTCGTCGTTTTCCTATGCTCTTCTGTCATTTTAGCCAATTACAGATTAAATATAAATCACCAATCATGCATAACATATAATTTTTATCAAGGCATAAAATATATTTTAAATCAGGCAATAAGGTTGGTTGTCAAAGTATTCCGTCATTTGAGCCAGCTACACATTAAATATAAATCACCAATCGTGCATCATAACATATAATTATTATTCAAGTCATAAAATATTTTTTTAATCAGGCAATAAGGTTAGTTGTCGAATTATTGCACCTGCGATCCTAACATCACGATCGCGGGTGTAACCAATTTGAGTTAAAGTAAATTTAATTTGAACGAACATTATACTCTTAAAAACAATTGAAGTATGTTTTCCCTCTACTTCTTACTCTTACAAAATGTAAAAACTATCACTTTAAATATCTTTCATATCGCGGGTGCAAGCTAAATTATTTATTGTAGTCAATGATGCTTAAAAATAACAAAAAATACTTACATTTTTGGCACATAATATTAATAATATATTAAATAAAGTAATATTATCACTACACGTTTAGCCGGTAAAATATAACCTCAAAACTATCGGTGACAACATCGAATGATAATTTTTCCAAGCGCGCCACTTTCTATATGAATTCAAATACAATAAGTATGTTTTATTATTACATTTTAATCTTCTATTGCGGAATCACCTATACTGACTCCCTGTAAACCGGCTCTCTGTTTCGACCAGAACAACCTTAAGTTATACTACTGTATATTTGGAACATGATGTTTCTGTGAAATAAAATGAAACATTTAGTCATTTCAATTATGTGTATTTTTGATTTCTCCAATATGAAAGTACGTAACAAAATGTAACAAGTTGTCTGTGTCATCTTAAGTAAGAGATCCAAATTATTCTATAACCTAAACATTATTACTTAAGTTATTAAACATAAATTATATAAACATAAACTGTACAAGACTAATTGCTATCAATATGATGACGTGAATTTGAAATAAGGGAATTTACTATATAATTTGTTTATTAAATTATATTTATTTTACTTAAGCATTTGGATATTTATTTTTCAATTGTGTGTAGTGCACTACAGCCTTTAAATTTTGTTCAAGTTATGTTCTCGCGTTTTCGTCTGAATCTAACATTTCTACATCTTCAGTGTTTTTCTCATGTCCGGCTAATTTAGTATTTTTGGAATGATGCTCAACAATATTACTAATATTACTCATGTTTACGTCATTTTCGGTTGAATCTATAGTGTTTGATGTAGCATCTTTTAAACAGTCAAGTGGCTCAAGTGGCGCAACAAACGCATCAACGCATGTAAACATGTCTTCCTGACTATTACAAACTATTTTAGTTTCTTCTTCAATTTCCACTGAGTTTGCTATGACCTCTCGATCTTGATCGTTGTTTAGAGTTGTCTCAAAAATATCCATTGCTTCTGATCCATCACCATGTTTTTCTATCTTTTTGGATTCGGAAATATCTTCCCGAGAGTGCATACGGACAGTACAATCTGATTCACCGGCATTTAAATCAGCATTTAACATTTCATATCTTTTTTCATCTGGAACTTCATCCTTATTAGATTCACTAATAGATATTGCATCATCTTTTAAGTTAATATAATCACTGCCACCTTTCGATAAATTTATGTCTTGATGAGTCATGTCTTCATCATCAGAAGAAGCCAAAAGGACATCCTCCATTTCATCATTATTTTTATTACTTTTCTCGGAATATTTCTTATCTGCTTCAACTGCAGAATCTACACTATCAACATTCTGCAATTCGTCTTCTAATTCTATTTCGTCGTCTATTTTCTCGGAATATTCCTTGACTGCTTCAACAACAGAACCTACACTATCGGCATTCTGCGATTCGTCTTCTAATTCTATTTTGTCGTCTATATTCTCGGCATATTCCTTATCTGCTTCAATAACAGAATCTATACTATCGGCATTCTGCGATTCGTCTTCTAATTCTATTTTGTCGTCTATTTTCTCGGGGTGTTCCTTATCTGCTTCAATAACAGAATCTACAATATCGGCATTCTGCGATTCGTCTTCTAATTCTATTTCGTCATCTATTTTCTCGGAATATTCTTTAACTGCTTCAACAACAGAATCTACACTATCGGCATTCTGCGATTCGTCTTCTAATTCCATTTTGTCGTCTATTTTCTCGGGGTGTTCCTTATCTGCTTCAATAACAGAATCTACACTATCAGCATTCTGCGATTCGTCTTCTAATTCTATTTTGTCGTCTATTTTCTCGGGATATTCTTTATCTGCTTCAAAAACAGAATCTACACTATCGATATTCTGCGACTCCTCTTCTAAGTTATATATAACAGCATCTTCGCCTACTTTACTACACTTTTCTGGAATTTCATTTACTGAAATGTCTTCTTTGGCCGTCTCAGATTCAGAATAACTGGAATTTTCAATACTTATAACATCATGAGTATCGTTGTCTTCTGAATCGCTATTTGATTCTAGCGTATCCGAGATAGCTATAGGTGAATCACACTCTGATGACTCAGATGATGATATTTCATTTCCCGAATGTAACTTTTGTAGTAAGTTGAGTTCATCTACATCAGAATCATCACTTATTAAAGTTACACGTTCAGTATCATAGACTTTAGGCTCGGGTTTGATCATATCTGTTGGCGTAATGCAGTCAATCTCACCGGTAGTCTTCATGTCATTTACTTCATCCGCTGTGTTTTCATTGTTGTGAGTATTATCTGTTATTTCTACAACAACGGTATCAGTAACAGATCCATTTTGTTCAATTTCATTTTGTTTTTCAACTTCCGAAGTTACTTTCGTTAGATTTTTATTATCTTTATCACTTTCACTCTCTACTGCGTTCAAATTCTTATGGCTTTCTTCAATGTTGTCATCTATTTTGCTTTCTCTACTGTTTTCTGGTTTACTGCCTTCTTTGCTGTGCAAAGCTTTAACATTGTCTGTCTGACTTTGGCTTGGCGAGGAAAGCCTTTCAGACTCTTTCTTACTGTCACTATCTTTTTCACCAATAACCCTGTTAGATTTTTCTTGCAAAAGTCGTCGTAGTCGATCTTTTCTCTTATGTCTATCTTCTAACGAATTACTATCATCATTAACTTCATCCTCTTCACTCTCCACAGGTGATTCGTCTGCTTCTTTATCACCAATTTCTACAGCCTCTAATTTTAATAGATTTTGTTTGTCTGCATACCTATAAAACGATAGTAAGGTTAGAGCAATTAGCAGATATCTAGTAGATAGTACTATTTTTTCTTCTAATGTTAACGTCTACTTAAAAGCGGTACTGAGCGACTAACATCTTTTGAGACCGACAAATCGTGGTACCCACACACTCATAGTGCCAGCCACAAAGAAACAAATTTCACCTAAACTGGTGACAGGAGCTCCATTAAGAGTCGGCTCTTTCTATTTTGTCCAGGTGTGGTATGGACAAATCCATATACAAACTTATTTTGCAATAACCGCCCAAATTTGCAGAAAAGGTTCGAAATAAGTAATATAGGCAAATGGTGAAGAAAAATTTATTTGAAAATCTCAAACGTTTTCTTTTTTATCTTTTTAAAATTCTAAATGCGTGGTAATGCATTATTTTAACTGTGTTGAACTTACGTTATATCCTTGAAAAAACTTATATCCAGCAGTGGATTAAAAATGTCTTATAAAATTAGTAAATAACATATTTTAAAATAAAGCTCTAAATGAACTCTCAATTTAATTTATGTTTATAATACTTACTTATTAAAAAGTTCAGTCTCCTTTTTAGCTGCTACCATCTTATTTTCGTCTAATTTCTTTTTCAATGTTTCATTCTGTTCAGCCGGATCTACATCATGCGTTATTCGTGAAGCGGCTAATCTCCATTCATTTTCCTGTCTTCGTCTTTGCAGTTTTTTACCACATCTTGTAAAAAGATCGCGAGCTGGAATAAGTAGATCATGTTTTATTGTACCGTTAATAACTATGATAAATATTTTAACCTCAACAGAAACAGTAACACTAGTGACAATAAAAGTTTAAACTAGCCTAAGTTCAAGAAATTAAATTGGAACAACCAGGATACCTGGATATTAAATTCGTTCGCCTTTTGTATTAACAAATTAACTGTAATTGCTCGCTTTAAGATTTATTACGACATGCATTGTATTCTTAATCATAACAAAGTTATGATGAACTTGGCATTTCATGAAGTCCCATCCAGTGCTACTGCTTAAACTGGTTTGTCGAGTTTAAACATGGTTTATAGCAAAATCGCTGTTGTTCTGTACGGCGCATGATAGAAGCTGATAAGAATGTAATTGTACTATATGAATAGCCCTTAATTTGCATGAAGATTAAAAAACGACGTAACATAGCTTAGTAAAAATAGTAGAAAGTAGTAGTCAAGGTTTTGAAAAAACGTTTTGAAACATCCATAGTGGTCATAAATATCCAACCATCATTGGCCTAATTATTGAGACCATCATTCTTGCTAAACTATATCAGAACGCACAAATTGTCAAATTATGATTTCAGTTAAATCATACATAATTATAGCAACAAATAAAACGTTAAAGGTATCCTAATCTGATAAAGTTCACAACACTCTTCAACCCTGTCTGTGATTTTCTGGTGCAGCCAGTCCCAAGCTCGGATAAAAGAGTAGGGCTGGCTAGAAGAGACAAATGCAGCCGTAAAAGGAGTCAACGCCAAACCCTGGGCGGCGGTTAATTAACCCATCATCAAGACGCACTCAAAAAGGGAATTGTCCATTCTTGGCTTAACGTGGACAAGTTGTTCTGTAAAAAGTATTTTTACGAAAAAATATAATTAAATCTAAAATTAATATTTTTTTAAATGTCGTAGTAGGAAAGTAAATGTAAAAATAAGTCGTTTAAAAGTATTTAAGCCGATTGAGTTAATAACGCGTCGCCTTTTTTTGTTGGAGGCAGATTCTGAGTTGCTACATTAATAATAATTGTGATTACCGTCTTCATAATCGATTATTTAAATAATCGATGTCTAAATCTGAAGTAAAAAAAAAGTATGTTCGTCTAAATGTGGAATGGAGTGATTTTTAGGTTTTACTATATTTATTTTCATTTAATTACCTAAAATACAAACAAAACACTCATCGTTTTTGGCATGCAAATCATTTTACATCCGATTATAATATTAGTTCGGTTGTTGTCAAATCGATTTTTTTATTACCTGGCAGCCCCGACTGTCAATAGTGACATTTATGCAGTGAAAAAAAAACCATTCACTTTGCCTCCGTGTATTGTGAATGTTCTTTCGGTTACTTTTGCGTAGTATTTTGTTTTTGTTGTAATGGACTCCGATATCGCTCCAATTGAAGACCCGGCGTTACCCTTGAACACTGAATCTGCTCACGACGATGACCCTGGCGCTATTTTGTTAAACGTTGAACCGGCTTTAAATGACAACCTTGGTATGAACACTGATACTCCTGTGTACAATCTTATTGCCCCTAGTAGAAACGAGGAATCAATGCGTTACGTTAATTGCGGTATTGATATTATGCAACGCAGGAAACGCTCTCTGGAACCCGTTGAAATACTATCAGTAATTCGACAATGGACTGCTCCACAAGTGGTAAGCTAATGTTCTATTTAATATTTTTAAAATAATCTTTTCTATTATCCATACAAACTGAGTACCATGTACAAGTTAAAATAAAGTTGTCAACCCCTAAAAATTTCAAATTTTCAAAATATCCAGAAACGAAGCCGCAGGCATGAACTTCTTGCAAAATAATGAATATTTAGTTCTGGATAAATTTTCCAAAAACGCAATTTCAGCGAGTTATAACGATTTTTAAAAAGACACGACTCGTGTGTCATACGCATCACACAAAGTAATCGATGGCACGCCTGGCGTGCCATCTGCACTGAACCGGTTAAGAGTAAAATCATTAATACTGTATACATTACAGTTCATATCTTAAGGATGAAATATTAAAAAAAATTTTGGTTGATTTTACTAAGTTTATGAGACTGACAGACCTCATCGCTACGTTTTTGTTGATTTTCCAAAGTTTATGAGACTATTGTAGTAGAATAATGAGAATAACAAAACAATAAAAGATTTTACCTTATTTTAAGCCATTTTTATTTCATTTTCTGCCTGATATATTAATTTATACATGTTGATTTAAATCAATTATTTTTTTTAATCAAAATCAAACGATTTAAATCGTGATTTAAATCATGATTTAAATCAGTCTGATTTAAATCAGCCAACCCTGCTAAATATGAACCATTTTTACACTCTCCTGCAATTTTATTACTATAATTCGTTTCTTTGAGGTATAAGCTATTAAAAACCACAGTCATCAAATATTATAGTTAATGTTCACGTTGTATATAACCAAATAACCCTAACAAACTGAGCAACTCCTTTTTCTAGTAATCTTGAAGCCGCAATTTAGTAGTCGTGAGGGACTAAAATACTAATGGTTCCGCCAGAGAGAGTGGGTGTATCTGGTGGACTAACATACCCACCTGCGCTAGGACCTGCGCATTCGAACACCGTACGCAGGAATGAAGAGAGTCCTGGAGGGTTGAGCTAATTGTCACTGGGGTATATAGTGGCGAGAGGCAACACGCTTACTTTGGTCTGGATTTCAAGCCGAACTGTGGTCCTATCTGCTAGCCACAGATAGGGAAATGGCCAAACGCCCCGTTAGAGGGTCGCATTTGAGGAACGTGGGAACTGCCTAGTTTCCTGAAAAGGGCTAGGTGGTGGTAAAGGCCATACTGACGGAGCAAGTGACAGTGATTCAAGCAGCGGGGATGGGCCTTTTCAGCCCTATCTGCCAGGTGGATCGAGCTCCCGATGTCGCACTGTGAACCAACTTCGCGTCCCTATATTCCCTCGGTAATGCTAACGCATGAAATTTATTTTATTTTAAAGTAGGACATTCCCCAAGGGGCAAGCTCCATATGAGAAGTGTGGGAAGCCGGGACGACGAATCAAATAAACTAAATTAAAAATGGACGCTTTAAAGCCCTACATAAAACAGAACACAAAACACGTCATCCAGAGTAGGTGGACTTGGAGCTGGACCCAGTAGCCGTACTAAAACTGCAAAGGATAATAATCCAGCCCAAGTGAAAGGCGCAGCTGCAGGGTCCAATTCTAAGAAACCTTCCAGGAAGCAGAGAGCGGCCAAGCGCCTTGGTAAAAAGAAAGAGCAGCCAAAAGAAGGGTAGACGAGGCCAACTCGCCGAGAGGCGAGCATAAAAGGGTGAAACTCGAACAGCAATCCAAGGCTGCAAAGACCCCACTATGCTTCCGCTGTTAAAGCTGAATTGTGAACGTGTACGCGTACAGGTCACATCACAAAGGAAGTAGCTGATGATATCATCCTCGTAGGTATCTAGAGTAAGATGATCCGCGAGGCTTGGAGTAGCTAAGGCCCTGATACGTCGGGCCCAGTCTTAACATGCAAACCCGTTTACAAAGAGGGTGTCCTAAAGTTGTGGTGCAACAACCAGACGACGTTGGATCACGCCTGGCGTGCCATCTGCACTGAACCGGTTAAGAGTAAAATCATTAATACTGTATACATTACAGTTCATATCTTAAGGATGAAATATTAAAAAAAATTTTGGTTGATTTTACTAAGTTTATGAGACTGACAGACCTCATCGCTACGTTTTCGTTGATTTTCCAAAGTTTATGAGACTATTGTAGTAGAATAATGAGAATAACAAAACAATAAAAGATTTTACCTTATTTTAAGCCATTTTTATTTCATTTTCTGCCTGATATATTAATTTATACATGTTGATTTAAATCAATTATTTTTTTTAATCAAAATCAAACGATTTAAATCGTGATTTAAATCATGATTTAAATCAGTCTGATTTAAATCAGCCAACCCTGTTAAATATGAACCATTTTTACACTCTCCTGCAATTTTATTACTATAATTCGTTTCTTTGAGGTATAAGCTATTAAAAACCACAGTCATCAAATATTATAGTTAATGTTCACGTTGTATATAACCAAATAACCCTAACAAACTGAGCAACTCCTTTTTCTAGTAATCTTGAAGCCGCAATTTAGTAGTCGTGAGGGACTAAAATACTAATGGTTCCGCCAGAGAGAGTGGGTGTATCTGGTGGACTAACATACCCACCTGCGCTAGGACCTGCGCATTCGAACACCGTACGCAGGAATGAAGAGAGTCCTGGAGGGTTGAGCTAATTGTCACTGGGGTATATAGTGGCGAGAGGCAACACGCTTACTTTGGTCTGGATTTCAAGCCGAACTGTGGTCCTATCTGCTAGCCACAGATAGGGAAATGGCCAAACGCCCCGTTAGAGGGTCGCATTTGAGGAACGTGGGAACTGCCTAGTTTCCTGAAAAGGGCTAGGTGGTGGTAAAGGCCATACTGACGGAGCAAGTGACAGTGATTCAAGCAGCGGGGATGGGCCTTTTCAGCCCTATCTGCCAGGTGGATCGAGCTCCCGATGTCGCACTGTGAACCAACTTCGCGTCCCTATATTCCCTCGGTAATGCTAACGCATGAAATTTATTTTATTTTAAAGTAGGACATTCCCCAAGGGGCAGGCTCCATATGAGAAGTGTGGGAAGCCGGGACGACGAATCAAATAAACTAAATTAAAAATGGACGCTTTAAAGCCCTACATAAAACAGAACACAAAACACGTCATCCAGAGTAGGTGGACTTGGAGCTGGACCCAGTAGCCGTACTAAAACTGCAAAGGATAATAATCCAGCCCAAGTGAAAGGCGCAGCTGCAGGGTCCAATTCTAAGAAACCTTCCAGGAAGCAGAGAGCGGCCAAGCGCCTTGGTAAAAAGAAAGAGCAGCCAAAAGAAGGGTAGACGAGGCCAACTCGCCGAGAGGCGAGCATAAAAGGGTGAAACTCGAACAGCAATCCAAGGCTGCA